TGGGAGGAAGGAGAGCTGTGTCATAAAATGAACATGGGATTTGCTGTCAGGAGCCCTGTGTTTGGCTCCCGAGCCAGTGAGCTAACTTCCTTGAGACACAGTTTCTTCTGCTGAGGCCAATAGTGGGACCTCCTCCCGCGGAGCTCAGGGGAGGAGTCAGTGGGACAAAGTGCTAAGAGTGCTTTTAACCTGGCAAGCCTGGTGCACTTAGTAATTCTTGTAAACCTTAATCTGAGCAAGGGGGGCCGTCCAACGCCATGGTCCTAATTGGCTGAATTGGGGCCCAATGGAATGAAAACTCAATGCGTCATTGTTCAGCCCCTGGCCTACCAGCGACAAACTCATTTTCCCCATCCTGGAAGTTGGATTTTATAAGCCGGAGGGGGATGTAAGTGATCATTCCATTTAGCCCATTCCCTTTGTAAAGACAGTGTTATTATTTCCATTCCACACAGGACAGGGGAGTTAAGTGTCATTCAAGGCCCTAAAGTCTGTGAAACAGAAGGGCGTAGGATCTGGATCCAGGGCTGCCTTCTCCCTCCAGGCCTTGCTGTGTCAGGGATCAAAACACACACTAGATTTCCCACAACACCTTTCGAGCGGAACCTATCCTTACAGTAATATGGACGTTTGTAGCACTTCCTGGACCAGCTGGTTCCTTTTACCTTTTTCTGTTAGTTGTGCAGCAATATGTAACCGGATGGCAGACAATTTACAATCCCCAGGAAACGCCCATATGCTGGCTTCCCACCCTCCTTGAATTCAAGAGCACCGACCAGATTTCCCCTGGCTTCGCGTCCTTTGGAAGCAAGCACTCCACAACTATTTTTCTGTGGGAGAAGGAGAGATGCAACACCAGGGCCCAAGTAAAAATGGTTCCAACGTGGCAATTCTGTATTTATATCCTGGACTTGTCGCAGTGGACCATTCATCCAAAGAAAGAAACACCTCCCTGACCCAGCCCTGGCCAAACACACAAACAAGCACCTTTGAATAGGCGGTACTAGGAATCACCTTGTAGATAAACAATGGCTTTGCGAACATGAGCTGCTTAAAAGATGAGAGAAGGATCACTGTTATGGGAGATTTCCATGGGGCGGAGAGGTGGGAACCGGAGTCCACAGGTGGTGAGTGGCTGCCGGGTGTGTGACCAGGAAGAGCGAGAGATGATGTTGTTGGGTAGTTCTTGACCTCAGCCCAGCGTGTCTATGCTCAAGGTTCCATGTACGGCCAAGAAGAATGTGGGCTGCCCAACTCCAGGGTTCCTTCCCAGACACCTCCATGGGTTGTGTGGTCCACAGCCAGTGCATCACCATGAGGTGGCATCCTATACAATGTGTCCTGAAAGTTTGTCACAGGTTTCTGAGCCGAGGAATGGCTTTCGGGGAGAGCTCTTCAGGAAAGGTGAATGGCATCCCTTGTGGTACATATCAGCCTTAAAGTGACATAGTGGTCTTAGAAGTCATTCTCCAAAACCATTTATTTGATCCACAAACTGTGCTTAGCTTAGGGCTTCACCTTTGGCAGGCACCCACTGTATGTTTGCTGAATTAATGAACTAATGAGCAATGAAGTGAGTGAAGGAGCAGCTAAATATATTTCAAGATAGAGAATGATCTGAGAGCATTCACAGCAGGCAACTGGGTTTGACTGTCCTACAGAGCAGACTGGTTTAAATGTTTCCCCGTAATTATATCCTCCTAGTTTTAATTAGCACATATTTTATCATAGAAGCTTATTGCATTTAACCATTCCTACAACTGCATGTTCAACAATTCCCACATATTTGATTGATGATGTAGCATCTTATCTATTATTTGTATTTTTACTGCATGTTGGATTGCTTTCTGTGGATGTATTCCAATAATAATAATAATAATAATAATATCTATTTACAATGTGTAAGATATTGTGCTAGTTGCTTTATAATTTTTATGTTAGGTAAAATTCAGATTATAATTCCACTTTATAATTAAGATAGTCTAAATTAATCTAAGGTCATATCGGTAAAAAGTCAACAACTAAACATCACCACCCAGATTGTCCTATTACATGGTTGTTTTACTTTCAACCTGAAAATTGCTGTCAATACAGGTCAATATTGAGGCACTT